GTGACAAGATTGGCCCAGCTCTTCACCAGGCGGTCTATGAGAAGACAGCTCTTGACATAGCTCGAGACATGAAGGGTAAAATCCCAGATTTCAATGGCAATAGATCCTCTCTGGAAGTTTGCATACTGAAATACCTGGCACAGGCAGAGAATTTTGATAATTTCAAGGCATACCTTTCTTGCCCAGAAGACTTTTTACGGAGTTACATTGAGAAACGTGTTAAGACCTACTGTTTAGATGAGAACAGAAGGCTGGAGAAGTTTTTAGATAACTCTCTTACTCACCTCTATGAAAACATCCAGTCAGCTGTTTTTGCATCAACCAACATTGTCAAAGACAGAAAAGACAGAAATGACAAAATCTCTCTTTGGCTGGATGAATTCTGCAGCGCGCTCGGAGAGGTGCTAAGCTTGCCCAGAAGGGAGCTGAAGGGCATCGAGCATCAGGAGATAACAGACATAGAGTTCCTGAATAATGCCATGACAGAAGCACTGACTTCCCTGAAGGATCAGCTCAAGGAAGAGCTTGCTACTGCTGATATGAACTCATTTGAAAGGCAGCCTCACACAATCCTGACTGAACAGTTTTCAGGGTGCTGGGAGCAGTGTCCCTTTTGCGGGGCTGTTTGCACAAACACCATGCGAAATCACGATGGAGAACACCAGCTCGTCTTCCACCGCCCGCAAGTTCTGACGGGGTACAGGTGGCACAAAACAGACCAGCTGGTCATTGATATTTGTTCTAGTAGCGTTGCAAGCGACTGTTTGTTCAGGATTGGTGAAGACACCTGGATCCCCTACAAGAGATACCGGGATGCAGGGCATCCTTATTCCACTTGGAACATCCCTCCCGATCCATCCATGCAAGCGTACTGGAAGTGGTTTGTATCTCGTTTCAGGACAGAGATAGAAAAATGGTACAACGGGAAATTTCATGGCAAAGGAGAAATCCCTGAATCGTGGCAGAGAATTACAAAGCAGGATGCCCTTGACAAACTGCAGACGCTTTAGGCCAAGTCAATACGAAGGAGGAACCGCAACTGCTTTGCATTTTAGAAGAACACAGTACAAGCCTAGCCACAAAATATTGTTGTGATGACTATGACCTCAAGCAACGTGAAGAACATTATATCTAATTGCTCGCAAAGTTGGGTGAAATAAGGCGTGCTACTCCTGCTATTGCTCAGAAATTCCCTCGCTTCATGATAAAGTCAGAATCCTCTTCCCTCCTTGCAGTAAACATTTACCACCGCTTTGTCTTAGAGCACAAAGGAAAAACATTGCTGCAGCGAGCAGTCATATGGCCAAGAGTAAGACCAAGTGCCAGATGAAGAGCAAAGGCAGCGTTAGAAGGTACTAATTTTATCAGCTGCTAGAAGAAAATCAGGGACTCTGGCAAAAAAATAGTACTTGTCACACTTAAAGAAAGGGCTGCGGGATCTGAGAGCGGCTTAACGTTGGCTGCAAGCTGTGCTGTTGTGCCTTTTGGGATTATTAACCTTTATCAGTAGATGCTCTGTCTCCAGTGTCACTAGAGCAACTAACATGGCAGCCTGTGAGAATTTAGGCAGTGGTTTAATTCAGTGTTTAGTAGGTGTACTTCATGTGTTAAGCTGAGCCATTACTACTCAGGAATGGGCCTGGTGAACTTTCCTCCAGCCCTCGGCCACAATAGCAACTGCTCTTGCTATTTGCTCAGCTGTCGAGCTAAAAGCCTTTGTATGACCAAAGGGGAGAATTGCCTGTCTTTGCAGCCTCCTCAGCAGCCGTCGGCAGGGCATGACGCTGGCGTTTGTGCTGCCAAGACAGGCTGGTGGCAACGGAGCCACGGCCCGGAGAACATGTAACCGGCTGGGACCGCACCGGCGAGGTGGTTGGTGGTTTTTGCTGCGCAGTTCCTCCAACGCTGCTGAAAATCCAAGGACCAAGCCCTGATGGAGAGTTGGCCAAAGTGGTGATTCAGTATAATCCCTTGTAATCTTTTCTAATAAACTAGTTGAGTTGGACCAGACTGATCTCTGTATCCTTTATTTTCAGGTGAGCCACAGTTGTGTGTGACTTCAGTGTTTGTGTGGTGAGGATGGGCAGGTGGCAACCGGGCGATGGTCTGTGGAAGGGTGTGTGGAAGGAGGGAGCCTGCTCCTCCCAGGGTGTCTGGTCAAGGACCTTTTTCAGCGTCTCAAGGCGTAATAAGAAGCGGAGGAAGCCATAAACAAGAACATCCAGTTAAACAAATCTGACTGACAAATGCTAAGGGAGGCAGTGGTGGCAACCAAGCCCGGTCAGTCGCACTAACTGATGAGGGAGAGGGTGAGGAGGTTTATTCCAGCGAGGTTATCTGATCGGGGAGCTGGCGAGCTGGGAAACTGAGGGAAAAAAGGGGAACCAAACCCAACATATACCATGACACAGACCCGACAGAACAGACGTGGAGACAAAGACAGGAGACAAACCTTGCCAGTGTGAGTGTGTGCTGCAAGGACTAAAGTGCCAGTTACTGGGGAGACCTCTGTGTGTGTGAGTGGATTTGGGGCCAGCTACTGGAGTCAGACTGGGAGTGTAGCTGCCTCTGCCCACGGTGTCAGCTACTGGAGTGAGTGGGGTCCCAGTGCAGCTGCTGGAATGAGCGGGGAGGGTCTCAGTGCCAGCTTCTGGAGCAAGTGGGGGTCTTTAACCTACAGCTGCTGGGGTGGGAACGGTGTGTGTCCTGAAAACAAACTACCTGGGGCGGCTGCTGTGAATGATGCGAGTGAAGGGCTGAGCACCAGCAGCCGGAGCAGGATGGTGAGTCACAGCCCACGTGCCTGATGCCAGCTGCTGGGCAGGGAGCAAGTGTCTGTGTCCCCCAAACTGGCTGCACGCGTGGCATGTGTGTGAATTCCCCAGCAAGCTGGACCAGCTGGTGAGCAGGGTGGCCTCGGGCCCGAGCCGGGGTATCAGGTGAGTGCGGGGTCCATGCTGGTACCCTCACCTTGCCATGTGCCTGAAGCACTTTCAGGGCTTTTCTGCTCCCATGTGTACTGTGCATCGCTTGCAGGCTTTCGATAATTTTAATCTTTCAGATGTCTCATGGCCTGTGTGCCAGTAACTCCCCGCTCCTTCCCCAGTACAGGGACACAGTATTTTATGCGGGGGCCCACGCCTTTCAGCCTCTCTGCCAGTCCACCTTGGCCCGTGTCTCCCTCGGAGGGATCGGCTGGCATGTCCTTCCTTGCAGACATTGCTGTGGGAAGGAACGCCAACATGATTCCAAGTGACACAGGGATGCAGTAGCTCTCCTTTTCATAGAATCATTGAATCACAGACTGGTTTGGGTGGGAAGGGACCTTATAGCCCCCCCAGTGGCACCCCCTGCCCCGGGCAGGGCCCCCTTCCCCCAGCCCAGGGGGCTCCCAGCCCCGTCCAACCTGGCCTTGAACCCTTCCAGGGAGGAGGCACCCACAGCTGCTCTGGGCACCCGGGGCCAGCGCCTCACGCCCCGCACAGGGAACAATTTCTGCTTTATATCTCACCTAAATCTGCCCTCTTTCAGTTTAAAACCATCACCCCTCCTCCTACCCCCACACCCCTGACCCAGAGTCCCTCCCCACCTCTCCTGTCCCCCCTTTAAGCCCTGGGAGGCCGCTCAAAGGTCCCCCCGGAGCCTTCTCTTCTCCAGGCTGAACCCCCCCAACTCTCTCAGCCCGGCCTCCCAGGGGAGGTTTATAACCACGGTTCTCAGAGACGCCGACTGGCTCGAAAGAAGCTGTGAGGGAAGGCAAAAGACCTGATGATGGAGGGGTGTGAATGCAAAGCTGAGCAGGAACCGTCTGGTGGGGTCTGTCTGATGCCCGCAGTGGGAAAGATGGGGGCTGGAGAAGGCGGGTGGCCGGGCTGTGGTGACAGGCTGGGGGGAGGCCAGGACGGTGGTGGAAATGGAAGATGGGGAGATCTGAGCGTCCCAACTTTGCTTTCAGTTTCTCTTCTCCCCCTCCTTGCTCTATCCTTCCCATCCCTCCTCCCTGTGTGTCCCCCCCCCCGCATTCCCCCCAATCCTGTGGGATCCCAAATATATATCCCTTGTCCCAGCTGGCCCTGGAGCCGGTGGGACACGGACGGGCTCCCCGTGGAGCCCATCGGATCCCCCCACCCCAGCCCTGCCCTACCTGCTCCCGCGTTTTCCCCGCTGGTCCCGGTCTCAGTGTGCACGGAGCCCGGGATGCTCCCAGTTCAACCTGCATTGGGAAGGTCCCCCTGCTCTGGCCCCTTCTGACCATCTTTTTCTTACACTTTAAGGGGAAAATTGAAAAACCGCAGGAAAACGCGCAAGTGGAAGAAGCAGGGCTGGGTCTGAGCAAGTGTTCCTGAAAATGTTGATGCTCTTCTTTCCGTTTGGCGGAAAGTCGTAAAATCCCAGAATTTCCCGTTGAACAGTGATGGGGGATGAGGTGCGGGGGGGGGGGGGGGAGATACATAAAATCACACGGTTTTTAGCTTGGAAAAGACCTTCAAGGTCCTCGAGTCCAACCGCTCAGCCTCACCCTGCCAAACCCACCGCTGCCGCCGGTCCCCTCAGCAGAGCCAGTGGCAACCCCTGCCCCTTCTCTTTCCCCCGAGGAGGGGTTTATTTTTTAACCAAATACCTCCCCCCCCCCCCCCCCCGCCCCACAGGCCTGCAGGGAGGGGTCAGCGAGCCGCCCTCACCCCGGCGGGGAGCAATCCTCCGCCACCTCCGCACCGCGGAGCTGCCCAAGGCAGGCCTGCCTCGCCCCCCTCCACACCCGCAGCGGGGCCGACCCCCCCCGCCCCGGGGCTTTATTTCCCCTAAAAAAATCATTTTTTTTTTAATTTTAGAGCCGCTGCCCCCCCCCCCCAGCAGGCAGCCGCACCCCTCGGCGCCCTCCCGCCCTGCAGGCGGCGCCCTCCGGCGACCGGGCGGGGCGCCGTGACGTCAGGGCCACGCCGGGTGGGCCGATGCGGCGGCGGGAGGCGGGCTACGGCGGCCGGCGGGGGCCTGGGCGGGCGCGGAGCGGCGGGACCGCCACCGGGACCGGGACCGGCACCGGCACCGGCACCGGCAGCGGGCGGTGGGGCCGCCATGGAGTACGTGACCGCCGAGCAGCTGGCCGGCTTCGGCAAGTACAAGGTACCGGCGCGCCCCGTACCGGCTTGGGGGGGGGGTGTTTCGGGGGCCTGGCTGTGGGGTTCAGGGGGTGCCCCGGGGGGGGGGGGGTGTCTGAGGGGGGCCGGGGCCGCCGTTTGGAAAGGGGAGGGGGGCTCCGGTGTGTGTGGGAGTGTGCTCGGTGCTGTGGAGAGGGGTGGCGTGGGACACGGTGCCGTGGGACACGGTGCCGTGGGGAGGGGAGGTGCTGTGGGACCCCGGGGGTTGGGTGAGGGGTGGGGGGGTGGGTGGGTGGGGGGGTGGGGGGGGGGGGGTGAGCTGCGGTGGAGCCCCGTGGGGTGGGGGGAGAGGCGGGGGCTGCTGTAGGATCTGACCCCGCGGAGGGGGAGCCGTGGGGGTCGGTTCCGTGGGGCGGGGGGGGGGGGGGGGGGTTGCCCTGCAGTGGGAGGGTGGTTGTGTGTTACGTGTGTGTGTGTGGGGGTGTGTGTTCCCCCCCCCCCCCCCACGGGTGCGCTGAGGTCTCGGGAAAAGCGGTGGGTGCTCGGCTCCGTGCAGGCGCCCCCTTTACCCCCCACGCACAGTCCCCCGAGTGGGCCGTGCCGTGGGGGCCAGTGCAGTGCGGTGTGACAAAGTCCTTTTCCCATTTTCCCCTCTCCTCCCCCCGCCCCCCCCAGCTATTTCAGGGCGGGGGAGGGGGGGGTGCGTGGGGTGCGTGTTCTGGGTGCGGCGCAGGCGGGACCGTGCGAGATGTGGGGCCCCCTCCTTGTGGGAGGGGGGACAGGGGGACCGGCGTGTCCCCCGCAGCGTAGTCAAGGGGTGCCTGCCTTCAAACTGGGGCCCCCCTCCAGCCCGTTTCTCAGCAGGTTTGCGGACGATGCAGGGGTACAACATCCAGCACAACCCCCCAGGCTGGTCCCCGCCCCCCCCCCCCCTCCCCCCGGGGAAGGAGGGGGCTGCCGTGGGGGACAGCCGAGCGTGGGTCGGTGGCAGTGTGACTGCGTGCCGGCTGTGCTGCCCCAGCTGTGCTCCAGCTGTGCGCCAGACCCAGAGGCCGGCGCCTTGCCCGGTTGCGCTGTGGCCACCCCCGCTGTGAAAAGGGCCACGGAGGGGGGGGAGCTCGGGCTGCGTGCGGGGTCCCTGCGCAGTCAGACCCGCAGGAACGTGCCGGACGTCGTCCCCGTCTCCTCCTGCGAGCGTGGCAGTCTGGGTCTTGTTCAGAGCTCTGGAAACCCTTGAAGGAAGCCGCTGTAAGTGCTAACAGGCTCTGCTGTGGCACTTTAAATCCGTAAGGGCTGATTTTAGGCCGAAATATGTGGCATCCTTCACACAGGGGAGCACTGGATTGTGTGTTTCTGTGGAGGGGAGGGTGTTTGCCGTGTTTTTTTCTTCTCCCCCACCAGCAGCAGAGCTACATGGTTTCACCTCGCCTGCTTTGCTCTAGGATCCGTAGCGTTGAGCCACACTGCAGTCATCCTTCCAGTGTGGTTCCTGGGGTGCAGGACAGTTAGGACACGGCTGATGCGTTCAGGGAGCGAAGGAGGTGACAGGCTGTTTCGTACAGCCGGGTGAGGCTGTCAGCGTGGGTCTGAGAGCACTCCGTGGGGGCAGGAGTGGTCAGGGCTTGCTCACGCTTTCCTTTTGCACACCCCGAGCTGTTGAGGTAGAGGTAAATGCACTTGGTACAGCGAGTTTGACCAACGTGACAAGTTGCGTGAGGCTTCCTGTGGACGGCAGAGAGTATGGGGATTCATCAGTAAACTTTAAGTGTGTTTAGAAAGGCAGTGAAAGATAGTGCTTTTGTGTGGGTGCTGGAAAAAGGTAAGCAAAATGCACTCAGCTTGGAGCCAGGCCTCCTAAATGGACTAATTTTGCTCCTGCAAAGACAATGCTTTTGTTAAAGAGGGAGGCTGTTGTGTGTTCAGCCTGTTTCTAGCAGTGCCCGGAGGGATTTGTGGTGCAGCTGCCTTCTCTCTCAGTACCTGTGTGGTGAAAAGGGGGTTTCCTCCCTCTACAGGTGGTGCTGCCAGTTGAACTTGGGAGAGTCCAGGCAACTGCAGCAACCACATTGTTTGTGTAGCAGGCACCAAAGACCTGCTCCCAGGTGATGGTCTTTCTGGAGATGCCTCTGGTGTAAATGCTGTTGCAGTTAAATGTATGAACAGGAGCCTGAATGCAGACCATCTGGGACCCCCAGTGTAAGAAAGACCCAGAGCTGCTTGAGCGGGGCCAGAGGAGGCCACGGAGATGCTGGGGGGGCTGGAGCAGCTCCCCTGGGAGGCCGGGCTGAGAGAGTTGGGGGGGTTCAGCCTGGAGAAGAGAAGGCTCCGGGGGGACCCTGAGAGTGGCCTCCCAGGGCTTAAAGGGGGGACAGGAGAGGTGGGGAGGGACTCTGGATCAGGGGGTGGGGATGGAATGAGGGGGGACGGTTTTGCACTGAAAAAGGGCAGATTTAGGTGAGATCTAAGGCAGAAATTGTTCCCTGTGCGGGGGGCAAGGCGCTGGCCCAGGGTGCCCAGAGCAGCTGTGGCTGCCCCCTCCCTGGAAGGGTTCAAGGCCAGGTTGGACGGGGCTGGGAGCCCCCTGGGCTGGGGGAAGGGGGCCCTGCCCGGGGCAGGGGGGGGCACTGGGGGGGCTTTAAGGTCCCTTCCCACCCAAACCAGTCTGTGATTCGATGGGTACTGCGATCTAGCATATAAAGCATGGTGTAGGCAGCATCGGCCGCTTGCTGTCACCAGTTACATGCTGGTGTTGTGCTTATTGGCTTTGGTTTTGGGTGGTATAGGGCTGAAATGGGTGAGCAGGTCTCTGGTAGAGGTGTTGCTCCCAGCCTGGCACAGCTGCACCAACAGGCAGAGGCCAATAAAGCTGTGTATGCCCCGAGGACGGGAGTTGGATCTTACTGGCAGAAGTAGCTTTGCTGGAGGGATTGTGGTTTTCCTGAGTCAACAGGGACTTTGATAAGAGTGGGTAGGTTCACACTTAGTGCTCAAAGAGCATCATTTCTGCCCCGTGCTGATGCCTGGTCTTTGTGTGCTCGCCAGGGCTGTGCAGTGCCAACAATGTGAGTACCCTCGGGTGGGAGCACTTTGCTGGAGATCCCAATAAACTGTGTGGAGAAGAGCAATCCGTGCTGACACACCCGAGTGGGTAACGAAACCCCACTGGGTCTCTGCAGTGCTCCTTTCCTACATGTCTTGTTTGATCGGGGAGCGTTTTTCTTCTATACTATTTTAGCCTTGAGAAAGCAGCTGATCCAGGCACAAATCTCTGATACTGGGTCACGTATTCCAGCCTTGCTTTAGGTGTTGAGGCTGGTTCTGCTCTGCCTTTTCCTTGCCTTGAAGGTGTGACTCTAGATCCATCACCACTCCGTTGATGAAAAGCCGGCTGATCTTCTGGGTACAACTAACTCTTCTTGCCCAGAAAACTTCTACAACGGGGTGAACGCATCCTGAATGGACAGAGCAAGGAAACAGCAGCGTGGGATGTGCATGGGTGGCAATGTGAAATAACGGAAGAGTAATTTAGCTGCTGCTGAGCTGCTTTCTCTGCCTCGTCCCCGAAGCGGGCCTGTGTTTTTAACCCGAGTGGCAGAGGTCAGTGTGTGGCAGCAGCAGAGCAGGTCACCTGAGAAGGCTGCTCACGTTGTGTAACTTGAATATGTAGCTGGGAGGCAGCTGGGACGAGCGATTACTTTTAGGTGCGACCAGCCAAAAAGGTGATGCGTGGTCAGAACCAAACCTTCTGCAGGAAGACTCTTCCAGTTCCTACTGCAGACAGCTCTGCAGCCTTTGACTCTGCCTCAGCCTTTAAACTTTGCCTGGTAGAAACTCTCCAGCCCGCACGCGATGGATCTGGAGAAGAGCAAGCCGATTCGGGGGGATGTGGAGGAGGCAACATGTGTCCAAGGGAAGCAACACGTCCTCAGAGAGGAGCTGATGTCCCTGGAGCTTGATAGAGCAGGAGCAGAAGAGCTTTGTGCAAGATGATCCACAGCTTTCTCCAGCCCTGGCTGGTTTACTCCTCCCGTTGCTGCCAGGAGCACATATGGGAAGCGGCGAGTCAGGGGTCCAGATGGTTTTAGCTTTGCAGCGTGCACATTTCTCCTGGCTGGGGGAGAGGTAGGTGTACGCTCCTTCTGTCACAGGCTGGCTCGGTGCCACGGGGGGTAGGGGTGTGGAGGGAACGGTCCCTTAGCTGCTCTTGGGGGGACACTGAAGAGCTGCTCTGCCTGACGAGGCTGTGCAGCAAAAAGTTCGGTGTTATTGTGGAGTTTTTAATGGCACCTCTAACACTCCTTCAGTAGGAGACTCTCTCATTCGGGTGTGGCGTATGTACCTTTGGAGGCAATTTAAGTTGAGCTAATGTAAAATGGGAAGGAAGGGTTTCTCTGCCGGAACAAATCCATCCTTTGTAGCTAATGTATTAGAGCCCGGCCTGGCAGCAGCGTGCCAAGGCTTCCCCCGAGGAGAAGGCAGTCGGAGAGCCGGACAAATCCTAAGCGTGTCTGCTCCAGCCCTTGTCAGCCTAGTGTAGATGATTGATGTGCTTCTGGCAGGGCGGAGGTCGTGATATCAAAAATAAAGCTCTTGTTTTGAGGCTGTAGAGCAGGATGCACGTGTTGACCTGAAGAAAAGCAAACCAGACGCTCTGCTGTTGTCGAGTATCGAATGTCCTCTGCCAAAACCAGGCGCTCTGTTACTGTTAAGTATTGAATGTCCTCTGCCAAGAGAGATGCAGCCAGGCACTGCTGTTCTGGAGTGTAAACCTTGCAGTTGGATGCCAGAGGTCATGATCTGCTGCTTAAAAACCTGTCTGCAAATCGCTTTCTGGCACAATTCTGAGCAACCTCCTTCTATAAATTTATGAGAAGGGGGGAAAAATGGGACCGTCTGGAACATTCGCAGAGGTGTCTGCTCCTACTTTACTTTCTCTAAGGGAAATACCTGCCCCTTTCTTCCCTGCAGACTGCCTTGAGCCCTGTTTTCACAGAGCAACCCAAACAACTCTCCCTTGTGCAGGTT